TCACCCCCCTTTTTATACTAGCTCCTCCCCTTAAGTTCCACCCTCCTTCGCACCATAGGCTGATGACTCACTGCCCAGCTGTGACGGACAGGTGATGTTATGGCTGCCCGTTACAATATAACAACACAAAACATATATATTATAAAATAGAGAATATTTTAATGTGGTGTTATTTAGTTATTGTGTCTGACTGTTTGTTAAACCCATGGACCAGAGCACGCCAGGCCCTCCTGTCTTCCACCGCCTCCCGGAGTTGGGTTCAAATTCATGTCGGTTGCTTCGGTGACACTGTCCAACCATCTCGTCCTCTGTTGTCCCCTTCTCCTCTTGCCTTCACACTTTGCTAACATCAGGGTCTTTTCCAGGGAGTCTTCTCTTCTCATGAGATGGCTGAAGTACTGGAGCCTCAGCTTCAGGATCTGTCCTTCCAGTGAGCTCTCAGGTTGATTTCCTTCAGAATGGATAGGTTTGTTCTCCTTGCAGTCCAGGGGACTTTCAAGAGCCTCGTCCAGCATCACAATTCAAAAGCATCAATTTTTTGGAGGTCAGCCTTCTGTATGGTCCACCTCTCACTTTCATAGCTTTGCCTATGCCAACCTTTGTCAGCAAGGTGAGGTCAAGTCGCTCCATGTCATTTTAGCTCACCCCCCCCCCCGCGCACTGATTCCTGCCCCGACCCTTTTACCTCTTCTTTGTCCTCCTCCCTCCAGGCGGAGGCATCACCCAAAAATGCTCCCTCTTTCCTTCCCCGGAAGACCCTGGAGGAGGTGCGCTGCGAATTTTCTTCCCCCTTCTGCAAACGTCCTGCCTCTCTAGGAGCTCAGACTCTGTCCATTTTAACCCTTGGGGGGGATGAGTGGCAGGAGCTGATCTTTCCCTCCCTCCCTCCTTCTTTTCCCGCTCCCATCCTTTCTCTGCAGTCGTTTCAGCTGCTGAGTTTGCAACCCAGAATCAGTGAGATAGAGGACTCCTGGGGGCAAAGGGAACACGTGTGCACGCCCCAAATGAACGTAATACAGTATTATTAATGCTGTTGCTGTTATGGGCTATCAAGTCACCTCTGACTTATGGCGACCCTATGAATGATAGGTCTCCAAAATCCTGTCCTGTCCTTAACTTTCCTCCTCAACTCTAGGGAGTTACTCCATCTCGTATCTGATCTTCCTCTTTTCCTGCTTTTTTACAGATTCCGTCTCTGTGGCGTGAAACAGTTCTATCTGTATCCCATCTACCCCTGGTGATTTATTTCTTCCTAGTGGTTTCAAAGCAGCTCTCACTTTACTTTCTAGAACTGCAGGTTCTTCATCATAGGATTCCTTTTTAAAGGAGTCTGTAAACCTTCTGTATAAGTCTTCAGTATACTGTTTCCACTTTCTATTCATTTTCTCCTTTTCAGTGTACTTTCCTGTTGGTTGTTCAGCATTCCTAATCTAGGCCAAATTTTAACTTTAATATCTTGGATTTTCTGGAGATCTCTTGTTTTTTTCCTCTCTTTTTTGTTCTCTATTTCTTTGCACTGGCTGTTGCAGTGGTTCTCTTTCTCTGTATATAACAGTTGCTGAAAAACTGTATTCAAGGTTGTGACCCTACTTTTATCACTTTTTACTTTGGCTTCTCCTTCATCCTTTAGACTTTTACCTGTTTCTCCCATAATACGCCTATGTTTTTCTTTTTACTACAGAAATTGTCTTTTTGGTGTCTTCCCTGATAATATCTCTGTTTTCAACTCCACATATCTTCTGGTTGTCAGTCAAGTTTAGTAATGCAAACCTGTTCTCTATGTGGTCTTTAAATTCATCAGGAATATTGTTTAGATTCTTCAGCTTTCCTGTAATGTTTGATATTAACAGTTCATGATCAGTACTACATGACTTTAATGTTGACAGTGAAGAAATTAAAATTGTTATGCATTGTGTATCAATCACTGGTAGTTCAATCATCAATTCAAATTAAAACTGCACTCAAAAAGTCAGATGTTTGAGTCTTGGAAGGAGAGCAATGAAGGATCTAGAAAAGATTATCAAGGATTAAAAATGTGTCTCTGGAGACCAAAGCCAACACTACTGTATTCCCAGTTACTACCCTGTTTCCCTGAAAATAAACCATAGTATGATTTTTCAGGATGCTCGTAATATAACCCCTACCCCAAAAATAAGCCCCAGTTCAGTGAAACCCCGCCCTCCACCATTGTGCAGCAACCAGAAAAAGATAGCAGGACTGTATTTGAATAAATGTAGATTGTAGTACATGAAAAAAATAAAACATCCCCTGAAAATAATCCCTAATGTGTTTTTGGAGCAAAAATTAATATAAGACCCTGTCTTATTTTCAGGGAAACACGGTATGTATGGATGTGAAAGGAGAACAGAAAGAAAACTGCGTTCATTTGAATGTGGGTGCTGAAGAAATGGGAAAGCCACAACATTTGATTGTCCTGATGTTCAGATAACACTTTGAACAAAAGACTGTTGTTAGCATATGGAGAAAGAGCACTTTCTAACCAGCAGAAGTGTGAGACTCAGCTGTTTTATCTCACCTGTTCAATCTCTAAATGCAGAACACATCATACATAATGAACTAGAGACAGATGAAGGATTCAGAATTGAGGAGGAGATATCAATAAATATCACTAAGATATACACACATGATACCGTATTGCTGCCAGAGAACAACATGACTTTAAATTACAAGTGAGGATGGTTAAAGAAGAATGCAGGAAAGGAGAATTACAGTTGAACAGTTGAAGTGGTATTTATTTATTTATTTATTTATTTCATTTCTATCCCGCCTATCTGGCCAGATTCGACCACTCTAGGTAGGTAGTAAGAAAATATGAAAGCTAGTGTAGTGTATAGAGTTTCAGAGTAGGATTCAGGAAACCAAGCTTAAAATCCTCACTCTGCCATGGAAACTCACAGTGGGGTTGCAATGTAAATCACATTGGAATTGCAATAGTAAACCATTAACGCCTTACATAACTTAAAAACCCTATGAAGGGTTATAAAAGACTTGACAAAGTAGGAAAACAACAAAGTAGGAAAAGAGGGAGAACTAATGTGAGATGGATTGACTTCATAAAGTAACCTGTGATGTTCACTTGCAAAACCTGAGCAGGGCTGTTAATGATGCACCCTTAGGTGGTGACCAATTCTCACAGCCACCATATGATGGAAGTGTCTGGATTACAGTATACATAACAATGCAGTTTGCTACTGGGTTAGCTGACTCTTGACACGCATAGGAGAATTTGGATAAATGGATCCAAAATAAAACCCTGCTAGCTAGATCAGAGCTGAGAGAATAAACTTTTCTGAAACTCAGCTAGGTGCAAAAACCTCCAGTCTTTAAATGGCAGGATAGACCAAGATCATGCGCCCACCGGGTCCATTCCCCTCCCCTTCCTCCGGGCCTTTTGGTACAGCCATGTTGCAAAGGGGCTCCACACATCAAAAGTACCTTCGCATGTATCAGTAGAACTGAATGGTCAGCCACATCCCACATTTTCTGGTGTGTGAAGGGGTGGCCACAGATGGGTGACATGGACCGTGATTCCATTTTGGTTTTTTTCTGGTCTGTAAGTCGATTCTCTGGCTGCAAGTCGAATCTAAATTTTGCAGCCAGAGAAGTCTGTAACTCGAAAAGTCTGTAAGTCGAGCCGTCTGTAAGTCGAGGGTCCACTGTATACATAACAATGCAGTTTGCTACTGGGTTAGCTGACTCTTGACATGCACAGGAGGAGAATCTGGCTAAATGGGTCCAAAATTCAAGTAAAACCCAGCTAGCTAGATCAGAGCTGAGGGAATAAACCTTTCTGAAACTCAGCTAGGTGGCAAAAACTTCCAGTCCCTAAATTGTTCCACATGGCAGGGTAGACCAAGAGCACGCGCCCACCGGGTCCATTCCCCTCCTCTTCCTCCGGGCCTTTTGGTACAGCCATGTTGCAAAGGGGCACCACACATCAAAAGTACCTTCGCGTGTGTCAGTAGAACTGAATGGTCAGCCACATCCCACATTTTCTGGTGTGTGAAAGGGTGGCCACGGATGAGTGACATGGACAGTGACACCTCCCGTGGGAATGCCGTTACTCCGGGACAGTCCTCTACAAGGGAGTGCCTGTTGTGTCTTCTCCAAAAATATTATTCTATGTTTTTGAAAAACATAAACATCTTTCAAGTTTAGCACTGTATCAGAGCACTGCTGCACTGCTAAGGCTGTTTTTAGTTTACTTTCATAATTCTGAAAGTCAATTGGGGGGACCAATGAAGAGAAGTGGTGTGGAAACCATCCCAATGGGAATTGAAGTGATTGTTTCTTGTGTTTGGATAATTTATTGTATGTGGATGATTGCAGCGATTACAGCAGCAGAGTAGCCTCTAGCCAGTTTTAAAAACTCTGTTTCCTCCCTGACTTTGGGATAGTTTTAGCGCAAGAGTAGAGCAGATACCTAAAATTAAAATAAAGGCAGGTTTGGCAACAACAAAGTGATATTACAGTATTGAGCGCAAGTGGGCAGGTATTGCTGATTAAGATACCTCCAGGAAAAGAAGAATCAAGATAACTTGGTCCCAGTCATGACTGACAAAGCACGCCTGGCCCCAATCCAGTTCTTCTATTTGTGGTCCAGCTTGAAAGACCTCTAAAAAGTCTCAATTAGCAGACTACCTATCCCCCACTGAAATGAAGCTGTTGTGGCAGCAGAAGCACTGGGCTAAAAAAAATGTTTTCTAATTGCATGAAAAAAAATCCTTAAATTTGAGCTTGGAAACTGGTTGCAGATTTTTTTTTCCTGATCATACATTTAACTGTGAAATTTCAGTTATTAAAATAGTCTTTGTGCTGTGTCAATGTGCCCAAACTCTACAAACTGACCCAGATTTCCAAAGGAAGGTAAAACTCATGGAAACTAGGTGTACAGATTAGGTGACATCCTATGAAGAAGAAAAGAAACCCAACCTTATGGAGACACAATCCCTTTATGAAGACCAGCTGTGGGACAAACTATGGCTGCTGCTGCCCTTCAGGATCTGTGCGAGGAAGCCACTTGCTCCATCTGCCTGGAGGATTTCAAGGATCCAGTGATCACAGAATGTGGGCACAATTTCTGCCGAGCCTGCCTGACCCACTGCTGGGAGGGGTCGGAGGGCGAGAAGGTTTCCTGCCCCCAATGCAGAGTAAAAGTCGGAAGGAACCTGATCCCCAATCGGCAGCTGGCCAACTTTGTGGAGATCGCCAAGGGGCTTCGCTTTCAAGAGGAAACGATCAGTGAGAGAAATGGGGGAGCCTGTGGGAAGCACCAGGAGCCCCTGAAGCTCTTCTGCAAGGATGATGAAGCCCTCATCTGCGTGGTGTGTGACAAGTCGAAGGAGCACCGAGAGCACCAGGTGGTTCCTCTGGAGGAAGCTGCTCAGAACTACAAGGTAGCAAGAGCGCCTGCAGGAATGAATGAATTGGGGTGGGAGCCCCGGGGATCCTCCCGGATTCCTGACTTGATAGTAGTTTTTTTAATCTGTAAATAGTTAAAGAAATGTTCAGTTGATTCTGAGTTCTAAGAGGTTCATAGAGCCAAGCAAGACATGATTTCAACTTCATAGTTTTCCTTATGAACTTGGGGGGGGGGAGAGAAGAGAGAGAGAGAGAGACCTTCCTTTGAAACACAAAAGAGTAGCTTAAAAAGGCCCTTGATCCTGTTCAGTTTGGGTTCAGGGGACAGCATGTCATGGCACGGACATGGCATTGGTTGCCCTACAGGATGACCTTCTGAGGGAGGCTGATGGGGCAGAACGTCCCTGTTGGTTCTCCTCAACCTTTCAGTGGCCATTGATGCCATCGACCACAGTATCCTCTTGGGGAGGCTCTCTGAGTTAGGGATTGGTGGTCAGGCCTGGGCCTGGCTCCAGTCCTTTCTGGGGGACCATCCCCAAAGAGTTCAGCTTGGGGAGATGTTGTCTGCTCCGTGGACTCTTGATTGTGGAGTCCTACAGGGGTCAATCATCTTCCCAGTGCTATTTAATAAATACAGTGGTGCCTCGCATAGCGAGGTTAATCCATTCCGGATTAACCTTCGCTATAGCGAAACATCGCTAAACGGAATTTAAAAAGCCATAGACTTCCTTTGAAACACAGAGTAGCTTCAGCACGCCTTTGATCCATTTCAGCCTGGGTTCAGAGCACGTCATGGCACGGACATGGCATTGGTCGCCCTACAGGATGACCTTCTGAGGGAGGCTGATAGGGGCTGAACGTCCCTGTTGATCCTCCTCGACCTTTCAGTGGCCTTTGATACCATCAACCACAGTATCCTTGGGGAGGCTCTCTGGGTTGGGGATTGGTGGTCAGGCCTTCCTGGAGGACCGTCCCCAAAGAGTTCAGCTTGTGGAGGTGTTGCCCACTCCGTGGACTCTCAGTTGTGGAGTCCTGCAGGTGTCAATTATCTCCCCAGTGCTATTTAACATATATATGAGACCGCTGGAGAAGCTCATCAGGAGTTTTGGAGCTTTGCTCCCTGTCTCCTTCCATCCCTCTGCAGTGGATGCTGTCTGGTCCCTTGTGCGCTGCCCGGACACCGTGCTGCAGTGGATGAAGGATAACAGACGTAGGTTGAACCCGGACAAGATGGAAATCCTGAGGATGGGTGCTCCCAGTGTTGGCGGTCTGAGGACTTCTCTCTCTTTTGGGGGCTCACTGTTTCCGTTAAGGATGAGGTGTGCAGCTTGGATGTACTCTTGGACCCGACGCTTCAATGGAACCCCAGATAGCGTCTCTGGTCTCTACCACATGAGGCGGATTGCCCGGTTGCGTCCCTACCTTGACACTGGGTTTCTCACCACGCTGGTACATGCACTGCTAGTCTCGAGGTTAGACTACTGCAATGCTCTTTATGTGGGGCTACCATTGGGGCTGTTACGAAGACTCCAGTGGGTCCAGAACTTGGCAGACATAGTAGTAAGAGGGGTTAGGAGATACCAACATATTTTCCCCAGTCTGTTCGCCTTGCACTAGTTACCTGTCCGCTTCCATGCCACCTTCAAGATGATGGTGCTAATCTACAAAGCCCTAAACAGTTTAGGACCTCAATATTTGACCAAATGCCTCCTTCCAACCAGATCTGCCTGTCCTATAAGATCCTCACAGGCTGGGCAGTTGAGAGTCCTGACTCCGAGAGAGGCCCCCAAAAATGATGCACCTCACTTGTGGAATAGTCTACCATCTGAAATCCGCCTGGCCCCTTTTAAAAACTACTAAAAACCCAGCTTTTTAGACAGGCCTTTCCAGATTCACATATATTTTGTTGCTGTTTAGTCATTAAGTCGTGTTCGACTCTTCGTCGCCCAATGGACCAAAGCACGTCAGGCCCTCCTGTCTTCCACTGCCTCCCGGAGTTGGGTCAAATTCATGTCGGTCGCTTCGATGACACTGTCCAACCATCTCATCCTCTGTCGTCCCCTTCTCCTCTTGCCTTCACTCTTTCTCAAAATCAGGGGCTTTTCCAGGGAGTCTTCTCTTCTCATGAGGAGACCTGCCTGGCTCACTCTTTGCGCGTTTTCAGGAACAAACTTAAAACCTGGCTATTTGGGCAGGCTTTCCCTCCTGCCATATCTTAATTACAGTGGTGCCTCGCAAGACGGGCGCTCCGTTTAATGACGAATCCGCATTACGACGAGGTTTTAGCGATCGCAAAAGCGATCACAAAACGACATTTTGAATGGGAGAATTTCGCTGCACGATGATCGGTTCCCTGTTTTGGAAACCGATGTTCGCTTTCCGACGATCAAAACAGCTGATCGTCGGGTTTTCAAAATGGCCACTGGGTGCTCAAAATGGCTCCCCGCTGTGCTTAGGAGCCATTTTTCGCTGCACAAGCACCACAAAATGGCTGCCCCTGTGGAGGATCTTCGCTGGACGGTGAGTTCTGAGCCGATTGGAACACATTGTTGTTGTTGTTTAGTCGTTTAGTCGTGTCCAACTCTTCGTGACCCCACGGACCAGAGCACTCCAGGCCCTCCTGTCTTCCACTGCCTCCCGGAGTTGGG